TATATATATATATAATGCAGGGTGGGCGACCAAGACCCGATGGGTTAAATGGCCTGGGTAGACTCGTACCCCATCCCTAAAAGGTCCGGGACTTGGTCGGCTCACGTGTCTTGCATAAATCTCTTGGACCTGTTCACAAACCCCAAGATTTTGAACCATATAATATCGGGGAGTCCTCTCCTTCAAAGACCCCATACCTATCAAACTCTGCGAGGTAGTGCCTTGCCGTTTCTTCTTTTATTTCGCAAAAACGGCAAAAGGGATCTGGTAGAATACCCATTACGGAGATGTGTCTTCACTGTTGGCAGTGACCCGTCAGAATACCTATCACCCTCCCAATTCCCTTCCTTGAGATAGAGAATAGCCATTTTGATTCTGCTGGTTTGATCGCCTTAATAAAATCTTTCGATTGTCCCCCTACAAACTTAAACCCTTCCACCAATTCCGCAGTACCTTATTCAGGAACCCTATTTAACTGTCTGTTGCTAGAGTGAGTTGCAGAAACGAATGCTTAGAAATTTAACGTGCCGGAATCTCCCAAGGAGCATTCTTAATCCCTTTCGTTGCACTATTTCTACTGCTAACTTACCTATACATCCCAATACCGTCAGTACCACATATGCGGACGGTATCTGTGCATCGAAACCTGTATTAGCAACTTCTAACATCCAGGAACTTCTTGAGACTTTAAAAAAAACTGGTTGATAAACAGTGCAAAACAATAATAAATAATAAAGAATCTAAACGTTAAAAAAACTGTTTTGCACTACACTGTACATCAACAACAAGGAGCTACGTATTTCAATCAGAAAAAGTGTCTAGGCAGCAGAGTAAAATAGGCTGCACACATAAAATTTGGACTAGGAGCGATATCTGTTTTAATTCAAAAACCCCACTAACTTTGGGTAAATTTTACTTTGGCCAATTTGAACATAAAGAGCAAATCAGTGGAGATCCGCCAAACTATCCAACCTGTTCGATACTCCATGGAGGAAACATTGAAGATCTTTGCTACGTCACAAACATAACTATCCGCAACAACCTGATTATTCGTTTTGTCAAGGAGTTGATCCTTTCCCCTTTGCTATAGATCCATCCCAATCTCTTGGTCCTTCTTAACCCTTCTGCTCAACTCCTCTTTACCCACTCTCATCCGAGAACCTCCCAGGTCACCTTAAACGACGTTGGCTTTAAGAACTCATCGCCTCCTATTCTAGCTTATCGGGTCTCAACATCGGCTGGCTTTTTCATTTTTCTTCTTGTGAATATTTACCAGTCTCTGTTTAAGACACACACCAGTCCAACTTTTAAGAACTTTCAGTGACTGAGTACATAAAATAAAGTAGGATACAAACTACTTTGGCTGACCTTGATATACAGATCTTTTGGAATACCTTCCACCTCAGCTTACTTCAGGCTAATAAAGAACCCCGTACAAGGGTTCAAAAACTTTTGGGGTGGTGGTGGGGTTAATTATGAACCCATTTGTAGGCAATACAGTATGGTGGAAGAAACTGCCACTCATAATATCTTCAAATGGGAAACAATTGCTCAACAGAGGCATTGCAGTAATGACAGTCAATGACCTACTTCTTAAACCCAACTATACAACTAGAAATACTAAGTACAATAAGCCAGAAGGCTTCAGTGTTTAGGGATTACCAAACCCCAATTGATCATATTTTCCTGCTCCCCATCATCAGCATCAACATCAATCCACATATGCATAGATTATCTGACAGTTTACACGAATCCAATTGTTAAAAATGAACGACAAACAAAGCTTAGCAGAGATCAATTTTCCGTCCAGTTTCTCCATTCTAGAGTGTTGGTGTCTTTAAATTTAAAAAACTCCAAAATAGCGAGAATAGGTAGCTTAAAATGAACCATAACATCGAAGATCTCAAGAGGTTCTCTCATATCTTGGTCATAACTGTTAAAACCCTAAATATAAATCTGACCAAAAAATAGTGCTAAAATTGTATTGTGCAGCCTCTTTCTTACTAACTTTTTGTTAGTCTCAAATACCTTTTTGCCAATAAAATGCATTCTTAAATAAAATTAATAACTGTCATTTTTTGTTATAGGTGATGAGCCTATAAGACTTTTATCTCGACATTAAGTAAGTATAAATTTAAGGCTAAATTAACAAAATAAAAATTCACAAGCAATTTTTCAGCATTGTGGTTTACTTTTAAAATATATTATACCTAATAGATTACTTTAAACGAACACCCCCCCATCAAAGTATGTATATTTACTTAATTAACTGTTTGGGTCTTATGTTTTAATACAATACGTGCTGCTTAAAGACAAGTTTGTTGTACGCTCGAGTTCGTGTAAAACTTTTAACTAAAGGGAAAACTCGAGTTTAGAAACATTTATTTCATAGACCGCAACATTAGGCCCTATTAAGCTGGGCGCACACTTGGCCGGTGGGGCGGCGCGGCGCGGAATTGTGAAGGTCCGCACAGTATGCAGGAACCGCTCTCGGCCGCGTTGGTCGAATTTCCCCCCTCCATCTGACTAGCGCTGCGGTTTAGTGTTGATTTTGCATTTCCAGGAGTCCTCACGTCACAATTGTTGACTTCGTCTTTACAAATATGGCGTCCGAGGGCAGCTAATTTACCCGAACTCTTAAATTTCCGACTGTCCCGGCGCACACTAGGCCGGTAGCGCGGCGCGGCGCGGCGCGGCGCGGCGCGGAGCCTGACAACTTCCTCCGGCTCCGCGCCGCGCCGCGCCACCGACCTACTGTGCACACAGCTTTATATTGCCATTCGAAAATAGTGACAAAGGCAGAAACAGGATTTTTAATAAGTGTTTCCTCTTTAAATTCGACCGAAGTGAACCTCTGATGATGTTAGACAAATTCTCTGAATCGGAATATTACGCACAAAAATGGCCATAATTTTTTATTAATTTCCTCTTTTATTTGTTCAAATTATTTATTTATTTTTATCTTAAAATGTTTACAAATACTATACGACATACCTATAAATACGAATACTATAACTCTAAAAGAAACAATAGCGAATAAATAGAACAGGCCAAGATAGATTCCTGGATGTCTTACTCAACCAACCTCATTAAATCCCTGAATGCTGTTTACAAATAGGCTGCTATGAATAAAAAACCTGCGACAGTTTCTTTTAACTTTAGTCGAAAATATGGGACTTACACAGATACCTTGCAAGAGACGCTGGAGGAAGTAACGAATAAATTTGTACCTGCCGTATCTGAACTAGAGCTTGACCTTTATAAAGAAATACGAAGAAAGACACAAATTATTCTAAACTATCATGGTTTTAGGAACGATCAGCCTTTTCTGGTAGAATAAATAAAAAATGTACTTTCTGAATTTGCTGAAAACAAAGCTTCTGGCGAGGATGGATTTACAAAACGCGTACTTGAGAGGTTCTCAAAAAAAATTTCCTCTCACTTTTACAGAAATGTATAACGGATGTCTCAAAAGCGGATGTTTTCCCATGTTTTGTGAAAAAAACTATTCTGGTTCTGATAGTTAAAACTGGAAAAGAATTTATAGAAGACGTTTCCAAATATCGTCCTATTAGTTTGCTATTGGAGCGAAAATTTTGAAAAAGCTACGCAAGATCAGAACAATGTACCCTTGACACAGTAGGAGTTATACCGGATGCCCAGTTTGGATTTACACCATTTTCAGGAGGATAGTGAATTATATGAGAAGAATCAGATATTAGTGATATCATTGGACGTAGCTGGAGCTTTCAATTCAGATCATCACTTCAAAGACCATATGTCTACAATGTAATGAAATGTTCTATGGTGACACGTCTGAAATAGAATGTCCTCAAGGATCTTTTATGGCTTGGATACTGGAAAACAATGAACAACCCCAACTGGGAAGTCGTTTTTCCTGAAAAAGTAAAATGTTTCTCTTTTGCAGGCGACGTACTGATTGTCCTTTCGGTGGCATCTAAACACGAACTCAATACAAAGAACAATGAGGCATGCGTTTAAACGAAAAGTGATCCCACAAAAATTAGTTGAGATTCAACACTGAAAAGTCAGTAATTTTACATGTATCTAGAAAAAGAAAAAGGTCTTCTGCAAGGAGCACAGATATCAGTAATGTAGAAAGTTAAAGTATAAGGGGTTTGGTTCGATAGTAAGTGGTCGTGGAACTCTCATGCCAACACATGTGAAAAAACCAACCATCTGACTCAAGCTCTTGATAATTCGACCAAAATGTTTTAGGCTTTGGGAAAAGTTGCAGTAGAAATAATCTATAAAAGTGCCATTGAACCAACGCAGCTGTGATCCTTGCTAATGTCATCCCAATATAAATTAGGGTAAAAGAAATAGAAAACCTGTTTCATACCATAAAAATAACCCCTCATTGTACCTATCACCATTATGAACTAGATTTGGTTCTACAGCCTAAATTATGGACACATCCATCTAAGGCTGAAAATGACCTAGGAGACGAAAATACGAACAGTTTCTAATTGGAAGCGTACACTGATGGAAGCTGAATTGGTGATTTGGTAAGCTTTGCTACAATCTTTTATTAGGAAAGAAAACAATCCAAACACTTAAACGCAGAATGGTATATTGGTACTCCAATAATCAAGCAGAACTTTCGGTAAATGTTAAAATTTAGAATGGTATTTGGATTGTGATGTTAGAGAAGAATAAATCGGCATGAACCATAGACCACAGTGCATACACTTTAACAGTGCATATCGATGATAAGCAATCACAAGAAGCATACTACGACAATTCAGCTCATAAAGAAAAATCATCACACACATATACAATAAAATAAAATAATGAGTGTTCAAAAATGGGAGGACATATGCACCCAAGCGTTAGAAGGTGCTACATTAAGAAAATATAAAGCAAGTGTAAAAATAAGAAAATAAATTAAAATAAACCACACCTACAAAACCAGTACGGTATTGACTGGTCATCAAAATCGGGCATACTTAAAACGTTCACAAATTATCGACCATTAGGATTTTCCCTGCGGAGCCGGAAAACAGACTTGAAGGCATATCATTCACGATTGTAAGATCTTAGAAAAAAAATCTCTCGCCACTAACAAAATGGCAACATTTGAAGTGCGGTAACTGGTCAGCAGGGGTAGATGAACTAATGCGAAGGTTTCTAACTGAATTTTTGAGCCTTCTGGACTTGTGACACAGCCTATCTGTGTCTAAAGTTTTTAAATAATAAACAATAATAATATATATTAAAAATGAACATTTAATAAATAAATAAAAAATAATAAAACATAACTAAAATGAAAATGAAAAATGGTAACATAATAATAATAATAATGTAAAATTATGCAATTGAAGCATGTGTCTATCTTTTTCTCTCTCACTCTCTCTCTCTCTCTCTCTCTCTCTCTCTCTCTCTCTCTCTTTCTCTCTCTCTATTATTAATAGTTAAGGTTAATTTAACCTTTTAATACTTGACTAAATAATTTTTTTTTTCTGTAATTCCGCATTTAAAACATCAACGCGTTGAGCGAAGTGATGCCTTCATGTTTAAGTAGTGACAAAACCATGTGAATGTTTAATTCCTCAACCGTTCTTCCTTGGTAATCCGATCACGTACATTTGATTCCGGAAAATGAGCCGGAAACTCGGTAGAGTTAATTTCTCATGTTGGTGATTTACAGAGGCAATTGAACAAATTTCATTGGTAAAGTACATAATATTTTATTATTTGTTTAGACAATAAATCGATTTGCCGCTTAAAAAAAAACACGTATCAATTAGACATCTGACGAGAGAATGATACCAACATATTGTTTCCAAGAGATTGCCAAGCTTTGATTTGAAGTGATGGAACGAAAAATGTGTACGGATGTGATATAAGTTATGGCACTAGAAAAATGATCAATGTCATAAGAGAAGGAAACCTCCCGGATTAAAAAAATATGTTTTATGCCGTTACCCCCAGTTTGTGGAAAGAAAACAAGCATAAAAAATCGAAGAAATGTTTATGATAATATATTCGTAATGCTATAACTACATTCCGCTTTATATCAATTTCAACATATAATTATTCGGAGATCGTGAGATGCGATCTGGATATGACGTAATTTTAGAAAACATTTTCTTTATCGTACCAACGTTTCGATCTCTATTGACCTCATCTTCATGAAACATAGAAATCACCACGAGCATTAAAAACATTAAGACATTAACAAAAATTACACAAATTAAAAGTCAGTGCCGCCAACATAATACCTACAGACATTTAAAAAAAATTTTACGAACATCAAAAAGATGCATACAATTTCCACTTTGACTAAATTAAAAACACACTATAAAACTGAACAACTTAATCAACAAACAAACACTTGTTAACACAAACAAAAAAAGGGCACTCTCAACACGACAGTCAAGAATGAAATACCTACACGGAAAACAAACACTTTGAGCCCTGAAGATGATCTCAATAAAGATTGAAACGTTGGCACGATAAAGAAAAGGTTTTTCTAAAACTTACGTCACCCCAGACCGCATCTCAAGCCTTCCGAATAATCATTGACTAACTGTCACTAAACACCACACATTTCAGGATACAAGGCAATATTCTCGCAAATTGCAGGGTTCAAATGTCAATATGCCACCCAGGAATAAAATTTATGCATTGCAATGTACAATGGAATGGAATAGAAGAGCTTAACTTTCATTTCCAGTTACTTACATTTACCTTGGATGAGAATTTCCTTGGTTTTCCAGAAACTTTCTCACCATTGTTGAGAGCATACTTTGTGGCTAGGTTAAAAGAGCCTAGAGAGCTAAACGGAATTGCAAGATATTTATATGAATTCGTGTACTTCCCTTCATATTGCAATGGTCTCAAAAATTTACATTTGGGTGAGTTTCTGAATACTATTGCCTTAGTTTTTTGAACACTGACTTTTAACCGGTTTATGGAGCAGTATTCAGACAGAACATTGACGATGCGCTGCGCATCGATAAATGAATCCGCAAATGAAATTGTCGTTTGCGAACAGAAGGCACAAGATGCTTATAACATTGTCCAACTTGGTTCCTAAGACATTGCGAGACTTCAAATATGAAACGAAATCAGATAAAAATATAGAAGACAGTGGGA